GAGCCACTGCTGCTCTGAGCTGCAGTGTGGCCCCTGAGTCATCTCCCAGGGCAAAGGCCCCTCCTGGACACCAACTCCCTGCACCAAGGGCCTGTGGCAGGACGAAGCTGTGCGCAGGAAGCAGAGGCAACCTGGCTGGCAGGGCCTTCAGGACAGCTGACTGCTGCAATGCTGACCCTGGGGACCCACAGGGCCCCAGGCTTCGGGTCACAAAGGCTGATCCTGGGGGCAACACCACAGAGGACTAAGAATAGTGGGTGAGCTGGGGTCTGGAGCCCAGGGAAGGAGCTTGGCCCACCACAGTGCCAGAGCACAGGCCCAGCACTCTCAGAACAGCCACAGCTGTTGCCTCTGGCCATACCATGGAGATCCCAGGGGACTCTTCTGCGAGGTGGAACCTAGGACTCAGTGCCAGGAAGAGGTTACTGTGCCTGAAATGCAGCCCAGGGCTGTGTTTATTAAGGCATCACGGGGACTCCTTCCAAGGTCCTCACAGCCCCTCCAGCTACTTTGGAAGCTGAATGCCTGGATGATTCAGACAGCAGAAGTCTTAGCCTAAAGCAGCCACCTGGAAGGTGAGGGGGCCACCTGCCACACCCAGGTGTTCCACCCATCCACTCCCACATATATAAACTGGGTATGGTGGTGCACCCCTGCAATCCCAGTACTCGGGAGTCTGAGGCAAGAGGATCACCAAAAGTTAGAATTTCAACCCCATCCTGGAATACAGAGTGAGAACTTGTCTCAAAAACAAACAAGCATGGGGCCGGGGATTTAGCTCAGTGGTTCCACTGCCTGCCTCAAAAGCGCAAGGTCCTGAGTTCGATCCCCAGTACTGAAAACACAAACAAAAAAACGAAGTATCTAACAAAGTAGAGGGGAAAGAAAGGAAAGTAGTGGGGAGGAAGAGCGCATGTTCATCCCCAGCACAGCCAACACAAAAGGTACTCTGACAAATGGCATTGAGTGGACAGAGGGGTTGTGGCCTCCGGCTCTGTTCCCACGCCAGCTTCAGGAAGCTGCCTGTGCCACTGGCCAGGGCCTCCCATAGTAACGGAGCCCCAGTGCTGGGGACAGCAGAGGAGGCAATAAAATTTGAGGGGGAGCAAATTACAGAGGGTGCGTGGGAGGGGCAGGAAGGCCTGGAGTGGGAGACCTAGCCTCTCATTAGCCCAACTCACAGTAAGGCCCAGCCCTGGCCCTGCACTGTGTCACCTCTCTGCACCTGGCTCTCCTCAGCTATGAAGCGGGGCTCAGGAGACCCCCAGCTCACAGGGTGCAAGGCAGATGCCAAACAAGTGGGACTGGGACTCCCAGGTGTGGTTTGGATTGAAAATGTCCCCCACACTTGAGCTAATGGCCTTTGGGAAGAGACTACTCCATCAAGTGGGTTAATCTACTGATGAGTCTATGATAGCCTCACTGGGAGGGGACGGGGATGGGAGGCAGGTGGCTCTTTCCCCTCCACTTCCCGACTGCCACCCTCTGGTCATGAGACCTCCACTGTCACCTCAGGTTTGAGACAGTGAAGTCAAAGTAAATCTCTCCTCCTCCCCGCAGGCCACTTTCTGGAGGGCCTTTGTCGAAGTAATGGGTAGCAAACACAACTGGATACTTGGGCTGTACCTGGAACCACTGAGATCAGGATCTTCACAGGTAGGAGGCAGGGACAGTCCAGGCCTGGGGACAAGGAGCAAAGATCCCCGAGGCAAGAGAGAGCCTGGGTCCAGGAACTGTGAGGAGCCCTGGCTGACATGGAAAGGGGTGGAGGACAGCAGAGAGAAGGTGCCAGAGGGCGGAGTCTCAGCTACAGCTCCCAAGGAATGCACAAAACAAGTACTTCATCCACTTGGGATGGTGCCTGTGGGTCAGGAGCCTGGACAGTAGAGCTGGGCATTCGGCTCAGTGGTACAGCATCTGTGTAGCATGCATGAGGCCCTGGGTTCAAATCCAGCACCAGGAAAAAAATAATCCAGAGAGTTGTCTCAATGCTGGCTTCAGCTGCAAAGATGTGTTTCTATGCCTACACCTGGTGCTGGAGTGGTAGAGCACATGCTTAGCATGCCAGAGGGCCTGGGTTCCACCCGGGGCATGCAAACCAAAATTAAACAAAATTTAAAATTAAGTTCTTCATCTGCACCAACCACATTTCAAATGCTCAGAATAGAACTGTCAGGATTGGCGCCCAGTGAAAACCCAGCAGATCCTCACAAGGGCTTTATCTCTTGTCCCCAACTGAAGCAAGCACATCCAGTGAGCTTCATTCCTCCCACTCCCTCCCAGTGCCTCAGCACCTTAATGAAATCCAGTTCAGGGTGGTCAGGAGGTGCTACAGGCAGGCATTGGGAAAACAGCAAGGCCGCTGGGATTCCAGCAGTCTCCAGCTGACTCAGGATTTCCTGTCTTCTCTGGCCTCAGCTGCATGACCAAGGGCGACCCCCGGGCTGCTTCGTTAGTGTGCCCACTTGCACACTCACCAAAGGCTGCTTTTGTGCACTCTTCCTCCACTCCTGGCAGTTATTTTTGTTGTTTTGTTTTCTGAGACAGAGTCTCACTATGTAGTTCCGGCTGGAAAATTACCCCACAGAGTTCCATGAGGGCTCCATGGCAGAGCATTTGCCTGACATGGAGAGGTCCTGGACTTGAACCCTAGCACTGCAAAACACACCCAAAAGGGCTGGAGATTTAGCTCAGTGGCACCGCGCCTAACTTGCAAGTGCAAGGTCCTGAGTTCAATCCCTGGTACTGCCAAAAAAAAAAAAAAAAAAAAAGGACCACACCCAAAAAACAAAACCCCCCTATTCCAAGGGAGAGACAAGTACTAGCTGGAAACCTCTGGAAATGAACCCAAACTCACACCATGAATCATTTGTGAATCACATAGTGTGATAAAATATGGGACTTTCTACTGTATCAATTTTTTTGGTATCAAGAATTGAACTCAGGGGCTCGAGTCTGCCAGGCAGGTGCTATACCACTGAGCTACATCCCTGGCCTTCTACCGTATTAATTTGTGTATCATCTAAACCTCTTGCCAATATGTATTACCTTTCTGGGTTTTGTTTGGGTTTTTGAGACAGGATCTCACTATGTAACCCAGGCCAGCCTTGAACTTTGAAGCGATCCTCTTGCGGGGGCCTCCCAAGTGCTGGGATTACAGGTGTGTGCCACTAGGCCTGGCAAACGTATTACTTTATAGTTGAAGATAAAGATTAAAAACAAAAAAAGGCAATGATGGGGAAAAAATAAGAACCAAGATACATCATGTAAAGGTACAAGATCCCAATGATGAATGTAACTGTATTGTATACCTAAAATGTACCAATAAACCTAAAAAAAAAAGGGCAGGGGAATGGGGAAAAACAAGAAACAAGATACATCATGTAAAGGTACAAGATCCTAATGATGAATGTTAACTGTACTATATACCTATAATGTACCAATAAACTTAATTTTTTTAAAAAGCAATGAAACTCTCAACATGGAATCATTTTGGGTAGCCCAAACTGAGTAGCAAAGACACAGACTGTATGTGGAGGGTCACATGGGTAGAGGAACCCCCATCCTGGACCTCAGCCAGCTGCCTGCAGCTCCACTGCCCAGCTGTGTTCAGCCCCTTCCAGATCTGTCACAAAGGTGGCTCTAAGTCCCCAGTGCCTCACAAATGGAACAGACAGCCTGGGCAGGAAGGTCGTGGCCTATAGGCCTGGGCAACACCCAGAACCAGAGAGCTCGGGGGCAGGTACTGCTCTCAGCTGCACAGGCCTGGTCTGCTGCCTATGGGAGGTTGGCAGCACCTGGTGCTCACTTCCTCCCCTGCTGAGAATGCAGAATTGCCTTCCATGCACAGCCCAAAACCAAGGCAAGTAGAGCATGAGACAGCTCTCTGGACCAGGGGGCTCTTGCCTTCCTTAGAAGTGTTTTGCTCGGGCCTGGGATTTAGCTCAGTGTTCTGCCACCTGGCTCAGAAACGCAAGGTCCTACCAGCCATGAGGACAAACCCACCCACTCTCTGGGAAGGCCCTGGGCTGCTGGCTTCCCAGCTGGGCCTGAGTAGAACCTTCGTCTGACGTAGCACCTACTCCGTATTGCCTTCAGGTCCCGGGTATTGGTGGCCTCCATCAGGCCAGTCAGGCCCCAGGCAAGCAGCAGCATCACACTGCAGTCCTGGTCCCTACCTCCCCCAGCATGGATCCGACTGGAACAAACCCCCAAGACCCCAAGGCCAGCAGCTCACTGAACCAGGTTCTGCCACTGGGTGCTCACAGGTAGCCCAGCGTCCCCCCCCCAGACAAGACTGGCTACACCACTACAAACAGCACTAAGTGAATGCAAGGAGGCAGACACAGGAGCTGAGTGCAGCTGTAGCAGCTAAGCCTCCATCCACACATTTTGCGCTGTTTCCTGTACCTATTCTGTAGAGGCAGAAGGCTCCATGGGCAGAGCTGAAGTCACAGCCAACTGTAAACCAGCCCAGGAGACCAGACTCCAACCCCAGCTAACATAAACGCTCCAACAGTGTTCAATATGCAGTTTTTGTGGCCCACCCAGTTACCAGTTACAATAGGAGCTAAAGGTTGTGGTGGGTGACAATCTTACCAAGTAGAAAGGTAAAGTGTCAGTGGAGACAGCTGGGCAGGCCCCAGCTCAGGGGTTCAGCGTCAGCTGGAAAGGAAGAGCAGCCCAGGCAGCAATGAGCCCTGCGAACACAGCAGCATACACCAGGCTGGGGACAAACAGGCCCAAGCGCAAGTTCTCCCAGGGGCTGGGGCTGGGCTCAGGAGTAGAGTACAGCCCAGCAGGTGGTAAGCCCTGGGCAGGCTGTGGATAGCACCTGCCCTACCCCAAGAGAACCCTTAGTAAAGGACTGGTCAATAGGCTTCCAAAGTGGTACCATTAGAATGACAATGAAGCCCTCTCACCACGCCCAAGCCTCACCTGAGCTGCAACTGTGTTCCAAGGACACATCTGGCCTTGTCACAAAAACCACTCGGCAGCAGCATGATTCACTGTTTTATTTTACATTTTATAAAAACAGGAGCCCAGACACACACCCTGCCACCAGGGAGGGGCTCACATTTCTGGGCAGACCTGGCCACCCTGATGGCCCAAGAGCCCCAGACATCTCTCCCGTTGGGTATTTACAGCCCAGTACAAAGCAGGGCTGCAAAGGGCATATGGAGACGAGATCTTCCTGCCCTGGAGCACAACACCCAAGGAGATAGGAGAGCCATGGAGACTCCTGCTGCACGGAATGTGTCCCCTGCAGTGAGAGGTGCACCTGCCTGTGAACGAGGCTCCTCTCCTCCGTGACAGGAGAATCCTGTGGTCAGGTGCTGCCACACTGAGGTATTAAATGTAGAAGGAAAGATTAGTCATTCCAAGTGGCATGCGATAAAAATGTTTAAACCAACATGGTTAAGTGTTAAGATTTTTAGAAATCAAAATATTTATTCACATAATTGTAAGCTAAAGTCAAAGCTAATCATCTCCTATGGCAATGACTGAAGTGCAAGTGACGCTGGCTTCACATTTGTTTTCTTCTTTCCGGCGGCGAGAGAGGGCTGGTGTCAGATCAGTTATTCTTGAACAAGTCAATGCAGCTCTGCAGGAGGGAGATGTTGTTCTGGAAAAGGAAACCACCAAGGTCAACCCTGATCAGTGAATCCATTTGAGAACCCAAAAACTGTTGTGACACACCCAAGAATGAAAAGCCAGGGGCGGCAGCGCACATCTTAACCCCAGCCCTTGGGAGGCTGGGGCAGGAGGACCAAGAGCGTGAGGCCAGCCTGGCAGCCTAGTGAGACTACCCCAGAATGGACCAAGGACCAATGATGTACACCAGCGGACAGCACTGGCCCAGCACTGGCAAGGCCCCGGCTCCATGCTCAGTATTGTCCGCCCTGTTATGGGTGAGATTATGGATAAAATTACAAATCGTAATCTAATGGCTGCAAAACTTGTTACTGAGTTCTTACTTTAAAGGCATTTGTTTGGCAAATGAGAAGAGGATGTAAAAAGGATGATATGTTAGGTACATGTGCCCATAAAAAATTACCCTGGGCACAATTTATGTATGTGACCCTGTAAAGCTCCAACATAAAGCTGACCCAAGAAACCAAGGGAGCGAACACATCCATCCACATGGCATCAAGTGCACGCCCTGCCGAGCCCTGCCCCAACAAAATCAAAGCAGGCACTGCCAGTTCCTCACTCCAGGCTGACCTAGAAGCTGGACTGACAACAGCCTGGAGGATGGGGAGTAGAGTGCGCCCAAGGAGACTGAGGAGTACCGCACCCCAAACTCAACACCCCAGTGGATCTGCCAGGTACTCTCCCACTCCTATGCTCAACCAAGCTGTGGGGGTCAGACACCACAGCAGGATGGAAGCTCTGCTTCATCTTCACCAAATAGGAGTCCTGGAGCACAATGGGCAAAGAGAACAGCTTCTTCTAAAAAAGTGCTCCATGAAAAGCCAAGGCATTGAGAAGCCTGCAGGCAGGGCCCCTCTCTGTGGGGAAGGGGACCACTCCAAGAAGGCTCTTCCCAAAGCCCTATTTTAGGGTCCTAGGGGTTCAGCTTGCAGCAGCTAAATTACCATGAAGTCCACCACAGGGGACAGAAAACACAAGGCTAGGGCCCAACCTCCACCTGCAGCAGTACTTACTCTGGCGTGCTTTATTTCCAGTTCCGACATCTCAATCAGATTCTTCCTAAACGCCGCCACTCTCTTCCGTTTGAAATTCACCAGTTCTACAGAAAGAAAAAGGTCAATGCTTACCAGTCAAGCCAAGCTCAGTTTCCACTCACTGGTGCCTATAGATCTTTCTTTTCTGGCCGCGCTGGGGATGGAACCCAGAGCCTCACACATGCCAAGTAAGCGCTCTGTGCAGAGCTACCTCCTCAGCAGAAAGAATAGCAGTGTTTCACCACTCTTGGTTTGGTAGGGAAACTTGGGTTTCCCTACTTCTGCATAGTAGGGAAGCCAGGCACCTGACTGGGCAGTTACACCTCATCACCAAGGAGGGGTGAAAACCATGAGGGGACACGCAACCTAAACCGTGTCTTCGCACAAGGAAAGAGACCACAGAAGCCCAGAGACCATCTACTTGTGAAAGAAATGACCTTTGGAAAGGTCATCGCTGCTAAGATAAATAAGCAAATACTGGTCGAGGTGGAGGCCAGCAGCAGCTAAGATGACCAGACATGAAACTTAAGATTTCTGGGATGGAAGACTGTGTACACAGCTGAATCCCATGTGATCTAAAAAAATCAGGCATGCGTGCTTATGAACACGCATGCCAGGGGGGAAAGGGTGTGCACTGACAAAGACAAGGACAGGTGCTGACAGCTAGTGACTGGCTGAAGCATGAAGGTGGTTCTGTACTTATGTGCAATATCCCTCTCTAAAAGTTTTGGAAAGATTTCCAAATGGAACACAAAGCCCCACAGAGCAGCCCTGCTCACCTTCTTTTGCAGACTCTGAGAGCTGCTCAAATTTCTGGCAGCACGCCTGCTGGTGCGCCTCGGCCACCTTCACATCTCTGCTCTTCAGCCGGGCCTTGTCCAGAGCTTTGTTCGAGTTCTCGTAGTCAATGAGGGCTTTGGTACGTCTGTACAGGAGGTCCTGGAGGGAGAGCAGCAGTGACTGCATAAAACCCTCTGGGGAACACAGCAGGAGTAGCAGACAGCTACCAGCCCAGAGGCCAACACAGCACCCACACACTGCCAGAAACACATGCGTGAGAATCTTCCTTCACACAAGATCTATAGAAAGGGGCCGGGGATTTAGCAGTGGCATCACACCTGCCCTGCAAGCACAAGGTCCTGAGTTCAATCCCCAGTACCACACACACACACAAAAAAAATCTATAGAAGGGATGCACAACTCAACATCTGAGAACTTTTTCAGAGCTTTGTGCAGATCAGGTGAAAAAGCCCAGGGTAAAGACAAAACACACCCAGTTGCCACTGGGTAAGTCATGGGGATGAAGAACATACAGCCTGCCCTGCAGCCCTGCTTCTGAGAACCCACACTCCGGTCCCACCTGGCCTGAACAGATTCCCTGAAATCTCACAGCGAAGTAGAGGTTCCCACAGCATCTAAAATAGGCAGTGATGTGATAAAATGGATCATGCTGTCTCTAAAACATTCAAGACTGGCAGCCGGGTGTGGTGGCACACACCTGTAATCCCAGCACTGGGGAGGCTGAGGCAGGAGGATCACTGCAAGTTCAAGGCCAGCCTGGGCTACATAGTGAGTTCAGGGCCAGCCCGAACTACAAAGGGAGACCCTGCCTCAAAAAACCAAAAAAGACTGGCAAAGAATTATTGAAGCTCATTGAAATTATTGTATGTACCTGTATTCACATGTAAAATAAACTCTTATCCTGTAAAACTAGAGGACACACTATAAATAGTAATCTAAATGTTACAAATCACCCAGATGACACTAAGCAACGTGTCAAAAGGCCTGTGTGTGCAATGTGTAGGCAATGTGTGAGGCATATAACAAGTCTGAGAAGTACCAGCACCTCCTATGGAACAGCAGCCAAAGGGACGCCTCACCTTGGCAGCCTCAATGTTGAGCATGTAGTACCGGAGCAGCTCTGTCAGCTTTAAGTCTTCATCCGAGGAGACACGACCCTCCACTTTCTAGTTAAAAAAGGAAAAGGTTACTATTAAGGCAGATGTCTACAAATTACTAAATTTATATCATCAAGAACACAAAAATCTTACCCGAAGTTTTTCAAATAGCTCAGCAACCTTCAATAGGTACCTGAAAATGCACACAAGACAAAGGTGCCATTTAAAGGCCTAAACTGTCTATGTGATATGATCTTATCAATACTCGAACATGTGAATGTCTCCCACCAGAAATACCCAGAATGGAGAAATTGTGAAAAACTTAGTAGTATCTTTCTAGGGTCGGTTTCATAACCAAATACCTTCAAGAAAGTGAGGGCATCACCAAGCCAAATGGTGAGAACCAACTGCCTGAGGACATGGACCAAACTCCTCTCAAAGGCACACAAGATCACTGTACTGAGGAAACATTCAGTGACAGGACAAAAGGCTTTGACAAGAACTGCATCTGCTGACCTGCAGAAGAGCCCGCTCAGTTCCCTGAACTGTCTCAGACCCATTATCTAAGGGCACCTCTCAGGCTGGGAAATGCTTCCCTACTCACTCACTTCTTGATGACAGTGGGCTCCTCCAAGGCCAGGCTCTGCAGACAGGCCGCTGTGTGGATGTAGTCATCTGCGACACCTGCAGAGACAAGCACAGCCCTTTGGCGGAGTGGACCAGGTGCAGGGTGGAGCTCAAACAGCCAAGAGCGGAGGGCACTTACTTTTATGTGACCGGGTCATCCTGTCAGCTTTGCCACAGGAGTCCTTGATCCTGTTGTAGTAGTTAACCAGGAAGTTCTTCTCCTGCTCAAAGAAGTCATCCACCTCCTAAAGAAGGAAAAGGAAACACAAGAAGAAACCCCAAGAACATGAGGATGTGTTTTGCATTAGAATAAACCCTACGGGGGGGGGGAATGGAATTAATATGAGAAAATGAAAAAACAGAAACAAAATCTTTGTAAATAGGGAGGGATGGAGGGGTTGAAGACAGGGAAGGGGGGAAAAATAAGAACCAAGAGAGACTATGTAAAGGTGCGTATCTCCAAATGATGAATGTCACTATATTGTACACCTAAAATGTACCAATAAAAGGATATACAAAACAAACACAAAACCCTACGGTAGGGAAGTCTGTGAGTCAGAATGTACACCGCTACTGACTGGGACTTCCACATCTAAACAATACTATATATCTATGACTGGCAAAACCGGGTGCTGACAGAAAACATCAACAGACAGCCACCATTACAAACAGTATTTTCCAGGGCCAGTAACGCTGGTGCCCCAAGACCCAGCGAGTCTACTCTGGGGCAGCGGTCCTGCAGGTGGGAACATGACCCAGCTGTGGTTGCTCATCCGTATGCAGGTGGATTTGTTAGCTTTTAACCTGGCTCACTTCTAACTGAGGCAATCCTGCTCATCCGGCAGGCACTGGTGAGAGGCCCAGCATCCCCCGGTGCACAGACACAGGGTGTCCACAACCTTGAACTGTGCCAGTCTCCAAACTTCTGCTGTTCCCTCCCCGCGCAAGCCTGGACGGGCAAAGCCTGACCCAGAGAGCAACTGCGAAGGCCACTCAGCCGTAAGGTGGGCGAGGATGAGAGTGAATGCATCACAGCTAGGGGAAAGGAGAGGCGGGTTCTGACCCTTACACAGCACTGCCCAAAAGGACAGGTGAAACTAACATTAGCATTTCATTTAAGTTTACCTAAAAATATAATTACAGGTAAATACTAGTGAGACATTTTATGTTCTCTTCTTTGTACCAAGTCCTTAAAATCCTGAAAATGTAACCGTGTCAACACCAGCCACTAGGGAATGGCACGCAAGACTGATCTTTCACCTCATTTCAGTACCGGGTATCAAACTCCGGTCCTTGCACTTGCGCAGCAGGCAGCAAAACCACTGAGCTAAATCCCCAGTCCTCACTTTTTATTTTTTATTGGTACCAGGGATTGAACTCAGAACCTTGCACTTGCAGGTCAGGCATAGTGCTACTGAGCTAACTCTCCGGTTCTTCATTCACTTTTTAAAAATGAGTAACCTCTGTCCTTACAGAGAAGGAGAGAGACTCGAGTGGCAAGGCTCATCTCAGCCCTCCTGAGAGTACAAGGCTGCTGGGGGAGGTGAGACGGCTGAGCTCGGGTGGCCCCAAATCCTCCTGTTTGGAAGGAGCCCGGTGGGAGCAAAAGGCCCATCGCATCTCCCTCCTGCTGCCCTGGGAGTGGAGACCCTGAAAGTGAGTCGAGGTAACCTTTCCTGCTCTACACCTGGGCATTAGGGTTGTGCCCCACAACCAAGTCAGCCATTTCTGAAAGTTAACGTGGAATGAGTCACAAGGAGCTGGAAGGTCACTTATTCCCATCAGTCAAGAATTTTCTCCTCCAACCAAAGCCCCTTACCTTAACTCCAGAAAACAGAACTTCATCAGCGCTCTTCACCACGCTCTTAAAAAACCCACCAAACACCTCTTTGGTGTTTTTCCGTCTGACGCTTAGCTGTGAAAGAAGGAAATTCCAAAAGACCACTTTACTTTACACGCTTTTTCCTAGGATCCCACACAGGTGCTGAGCAGCATTCCCAGTGACTATTACGACACGGCCGAGGAGAGCCGGCTAGGACTCCGCCTAACACCAAGTCAATACACCTAACACGTGGCCAACCTCACTCAAGCCCTCTCCTGAAAGGCTAACAGGATTCTGGACGGCTGTGCAGGTGCCAAGGCTTACGGTTTCTCCGTCCTTGGCAATATCATCATGCTGCTCTGGCTTATGCTGTTTCTTAGGCGCTCAGTGTCAGGAGACACTGAAGAAATGTCCGAACCAGGGCTCACCTCACACACATTATGTAGCAATGACTACAACGCTGAAAACCAAAACAGGCTACATATGTATGTTACCGCTTGAGCTCCTCCTCTGTTTCAAACATACACTGAGGGAAAAGCCAGTCTTTGAAAGGGGGAAAATGCCAAAATTTAGGTGGCTTTACAAAACTGCCTTTGTAATGTGGATCTCTGGGGGAAGCAGCATCTAACCTGCCCACTGCATCTGTGTTGGTAAGAAACTCAAAAAACTTTAATAGTCAATTTTTCAGTTGCCCAGGCTAGGCTCAAACTTGCGATCCTCCTGCTCAGCCTGAGTAGCTGGGCTGACAAGCATGTGCCATCTCACAGGCTAAAGCCTATTTTTAAAAGCCCAATCACACATTTTAACTTAAAGGACCATGGAAATGGAATAAAATTGCCTTACATCCTGATCATATTCCAGGAAAACATGAAAGTTGCGGTCTTTACTGAGGACGGGGTGAGAAGAGAGACGCTGAAGAAATACTTCGTGGGAGGACACGGTCTTCTTAAAGACAGCGAGGTACTCCCTGCAAAGAACCACACAGGACCCAGCTGGCACCACTCATCATGGGACCAGCACCGCTCACTCCCTGGCAATGGAACTGCTTCGGCTCACCTTACTGTAGATACCATGGCTAAACCAGAGCATTATTTTGGCATAACTCAGTATCTAGTCAGGGACTAAATCGAGGAATCCCTGTGCTACAGCTTGTGTCTAGGTGTCTCCCCTAAGCCTCATGCGGTCATAGGGGGGACTTTTTCAGAAGTGGCTGGATCTAGAGTGCTTGATGCTGGGACGAATTCATGGTGCAATGCTAGGATCAAGGGCTCTAGGATTAAGGGTGTGAGTGGCATCTGCTCTACATAGCCTGGATAAGATGTAAGGGCTAGATGTGGTCCTCCCTTGTTCCTTTGCTACCTTCTGCCTGCCACGAACTGTTTCTCCTCTGCAATGCCTGTCTGCCATCCACCCTGTCTCGGAGCCAGCTGATTATAGACTAAAACCTCTACGAACAGTGAACTAAATAAACTTTCCTCCCTTAATTTGTGTGTATCAGGTATTTTGTCTCAGCAACTAAAAAGTAATTTAGACACCATGGAATCAACCAGTGGGGAGGAAGTGGTGCTGTATGGACTTGCTGGATGGACTCAGCCTCAGAGCCCTCAAACCTACACCCAGCCACCGCAGCACCTGGTGCAGCACACTGGTCCAGCCAAAGGAGCCCGGCCACACAGGCGGCATGGGCCCAAGCAGGACCGTAGGGAGCCGCAGAGATGGCACCTGAGTCCCACATGCCCCTCCTGAGGGCTGAGTGCTTCTGAGCCAAGAAGAAGGGGTAGAAACCTCCCCACCCCAACTCCTAAAGCCCACCTTGTATCTGTTAAGTAAGACTTGTTATACAGATCTTCCTCCTGAACTTTCAGATATTTAAATGGCATTATTTGTGGTTTCAGAGTTCATGTTTGACTCATTTGGTTTTCATTTTAAACCCAAATACTCAAGAATGAAAACCTAGCCAGGGATTTAGCTCAGTGGTGCCGATGCCTGCCTTGATAGTGCAAGGTCCTGAGTTCAATCCCTGGTACCAAAAACAAAACAAAAACAAAAACAAAAAACTTCTCACCAAAGAATGAAAATCTACAACTATGACAGAGAGTAAAGAAATCCATTTTTTCCTTTTGTTTCTTTTTTTTGGTACCAGGGATCAAACTTGGAACCTTGTGCTTACGAAGCAGGTGGGAGAACCACTGAGCTAAATCCCCAGCCCAAGAAATCCATTTTTGCTCAGAAATTACAACCAGCTTAGAGAGAATACGCTGCCTGTGAGCCTGGCCCCTCCAGTGAACCATCAGAAGTTACTTGGACAGTTCTAACAGCACTCACTGCAGTCTAGTTTCTCCTGTATCTCTGGTAACCAAACTTTAGGGGAAAATAACCTTGGTACCACCAGCCTGATAATGTATAAAGAGCCAGGTGTGGTGGTACACATCTGTAATACCAGCACTCAGAAGGCTGAAGCAGGAGGAATGCCATGATTTCAAAGCCAGGATGGGCTACATACCGGTAGAAAGCCCTTGCTTCAAAACAAAAACAACAAAGAAACTATTCCAGACCCACAACCCTAATAGGCACAGCCTGTGTAGAGAGAAAGAAAAACTAGTTTGTACCATGTTAATGGCCTCAAGGAGCACATCCCATCCTCAGCAAAATGCAGTCTTAGAAAACAGCAGCAAGACAGGCATGATGGCTCATGGCTAAAATTCCAGCACTTAGGAGGCTGAGGCAGGAGGATTGCCATGAGTTTGAGGCCAGTCTGGACTATAGGAGACCTTGTCTCAAAAAACAAAACAAACAAAAAAGAAAATAGCAGCAGGCAATTAAGAACTATGCTAAAACAAAATAAAAAACCCAATCATCTAGCTTTAGGTTGTTCTTCTCCTATGTGTACAGGACTTTGCTACCTCTTGAAGATGCAGCCAGTAAAAGCACACTTACGCCTCCAGCTCCTGCTTCATTTTGGCAAATTCCTCTTTGGTCATGGATCCTTCCCCTTCTCCCAGCTTCTGCATCTTCTCACGGGGGCCGTCGAAGTCTGGCTTTGTAGGAGCCGGAGGGATCTGCAGCAGGGACGGGGACCCATGAGCACTGTGTGAGCGGCATCATGCTGGCTGGCCTCATGCCCATCACTGAGCTGTCCCAACCAAACCCTGCTCCTGAGGGAAGGAGCGTCCTCCACAGCTGGGTGTTCAACTACAGACAACAGCAGAGCACCAGTTTCCAAATGACTTCACTATCAGCTTAAAATTACATACTATAACCAGTGCCAAAAACCCATTGCTAACCAAGATTAAGTTTTCAGACATCAAAAAGAATCCAATTACAAAGGATAATCAAAAGAGTGTCATTTATGGGCCGGGGATTTAGCTCAGTGGTTTCGCCACCTGCTTCGCAAGCGCAAGAACCTGAGTCCGATCCCTGGTACCAAAAAAAAAAAAAAAAGTGTCATTTGGAACAAAAGGGACTTTTCCACACAAGTGTCAAGTACTAATTTTGTTCAATAACTCATTTTTCATTAAGAAATCAGCATTTGGTAGAGTCTCCGGTCTCCCAGCAGCACAGGATTCTCATCTGAAATACCCAAGGTCCTGTTCCTGAAGGCAAGGATTGACCAAGAGCCTCCTTCATTCTGTGGCACCAGAGAAATCTTACTACACACTGTCAGCAACACTAAGGTTTCCTAGAAACCAATTCTACTGGGGTCTGAAAAAAGAGCAAAACCAAACCTAAAGGCAGATAAGATTTGAATCAGTATTATAGTATTATATATATATATAGTCTTATAAGCTTCACCTCATTCTCCATGCGTCTCACACTTTACCCACAAGGGAGAAAGCAAACACTCTAGGCAAATGAAGGCAAACTTCACAACACATTATAGAAGTAGATAGAAGTCTCTTGACACAAAGAGAATAGCAAGGTAGGAAAAAACAGCCTTCTTGTTTTCCTTTCCAAAGTGTACTCACAATAAGCCCAGCATAGTCTGTAGTTTCAGTGAGAGTGTCGTGTAGCCACACGAAGTCCTCATGTTGCCTTGTAACAGAAAACTCTGGACTCTGGAACACGGGCAGTGTGGTCTGTGAAGACAAGGGAGACACAAACTGCTAAGCAGCACCTGATGGGGTGCCTTGGACGGCACTGCAGGAAAACTGCATAAAACATCAGTGAGAGCCAATAAAGAACTAAGTACCCAACACTCGAGAGGCTGAGGCAGGAGATCACCCAAGAGTCCAAGGCCAGCCTGGGCTACATAGTGAGCTCAAGGCCAGCAAGACTCTGTCTCAAAACAAGCAAGCAAGCAAGCAAGCAGTACTACTGCATCTCCCCACCAAGAAAGCTAGTAGCCAGGACTCAAAACTGATTATATATGTCTCTCCTTTCTGAAGCTTGCTGTGAACATCCAACCAAAATGACAAGAATCTTACCAGTAAAAGGAAAAGCCCCAAGGGCCAGGGATTTAGCTCAGTGGTTTCACTGCCTGCTGTGAAAGTGCAAGGACCTGAGTTCAATCCCTGGTACCAAAAAAAAAAAAAAAAAGGAAAAGCCCCAGGAAGTTAAAGCCAAAGGCAGAGGACCCGGCCTCAGAGGCAGGGGCAGGAGCTGTGCCTCCGGCTGCCCCCACAGGCTTGTCTAATGCTCACGGCAAGCCAGGTGGCCAGGTGTCTCACCCAGCAGCCTGCACACTTGCAAACAGCACAGCATCATCTCAGCTGGAGGAGTCTCTCCCCATATCCACATGGAAAGCAGGTGGCCACTCACCTTGGTGTGCACTGTGAACTTGACTTTGTCCCTCTCGCTTAGCGCATCAGGTATGTCGATTTGCAGCGAAGGGTCGATATTCAAGTCCACAGACACAGATCTCAGCTGAAAGGGTTTTTCAATTATTAGTCTCAGATTTATTTTAGTCCTAGAAAGTATCCTTCCAAAGTGAGAGGCAGCTACTAAAAAGCAGCCTACAGACAGATCATTTAGGGTAATGTCACACAGCTTTATTTGGAACAGAGAGGAAACCTGCTTCTCAGTCCCTGAGTCCTAAGCATGCTTTTTTTTTTTTTTGTACTGGGGATCAAACTCAGGACCTTGCACTTGCCAGGCAGGTGCACCACCACTGAGCTAAATCCCCGGCCCATGAAGCATTCTTGTCATGTGAACAAAGCGAGTATGATTTTGGCACCAGTGAAACGTATTTAACCACATACCTGACTCCACACTTAGGTTTAACCAGATGAGAATAAAATCCTGACTTTGCATGTAAATCTTCAAGTACAGAAACATTCAAAAAGCATTAATCAGACCATGCAAAGATGTCTGTTTTTTCCAGTAATGAGGATTGAACCTAGGGCTTTCATGCTGAGTTACACTACCTGACCTTGTTTAAATTTTTAGGTTTCAGACAAGGTCTCACTAAATAGTCTAGACTGGGCTTGAACTTGTGGTCCCCCTGCCTCAGCCTCCTAGATTGCTAGAATTCTGGGGCACTACCACATCCAGCTCAGAGACCAGGAAACCTACCCTAGGAAGATGGCAGAACCATTTGGTGGGGCAGACAGATAAATGAGCCTGTTTACATTTGGACTGCTGCCAACAGCTGAGAAAACAACAGAAAGGGTTAAAAACTGACCACTGCGGTTACATAAGGCACAAGAGGGAGCTCCGCCCTGTAAAACAAAGTTTGTGTGCTAGAAGTTTAGAGGGCAAAAATTTATGACTCTACCTTTGCCAGTTTAAACTGTTTCCTTTTTTTTTTTTTCATACCGGGGATCAAACTCAGGTCCTTGTGCTTGTGCAGCAGGCACGAGAACCACTGAGGTAAATCCCCAGCCCAAACTGTTTCTTCACAGTAAGAAAAGCAGTAGCATTAATAAGAGCTAGGCTATCAGGAAAACATGGTTAAATGGATTTCCTGCTCAATTTAAAACAGTGAACTCTCAACACCAGCAGGTGGTCAAGGGTCCCACTTCCCCCTTCTGCTTTCTGTTTCTGCTGAGGTGAGGCTGCCCAGGCCATTGATACAGGGAGAGCTGAAGACATGTACTTCTCTCTCCCTGTGTCTTCTAAGTACTTCCCCTTTCTTTAAGCACTGTGCCTTTAAATTTTTTTTCAAATTAAAAATACACTAGCTGTGGCCCTGACAGCTTTCCTTCAAAAGTTTCAAATTCTGTCAATGAGCACTGATCACAACCCCAGCAACTAATAAGATCACAGTATAATCAGTCTCAAACCTCAGCCCAACCATCTCTCCTTCCCAAATGCACTCTTGACAACTGGCACGAACCACATGATTTGGTGTGGTTTAACTCAGATGACCATTTCTTGAGATCTCTGCATGAAAATAAAGCATGGGGGCCAGGTGTAGTGGCAACGCCTGCAAACCCAGCACTCAGGAGGCTGAGGCAGGCGGATCACCAGGAGTTTGAGGTCAGCCAGGGGTACATAGTGAGTTCAAGACCAGCCTGGACTACACAGCAAGACTCTGACTCAAAGAAACAAAATTAAGGGGCCAAAGATTTAGCTCAGTGGCGCCACACCTGCCTGGCAGTGCAAGGTCCTCAGTTCAATGCCGGGTACAAAAAAATAAGCTTGGAGGTCAGGGACACTTCATTTTATCATAAATGACCCTGGCTCTCATGGTTTTTCTGATAAAAGCTTCTTTCTTCCTGAGAAATAAAAACCAACACAGATGCAACGTGACTACAGAGGAACACTGGCAACGCCCCTATCCTGTGCTATTAGGGCCATCAGGGCGAGATGGACAAATACAGAACAGAGGCTACCAGGCTGTGGAATGAGACAGATGCTGGAGGAGACCCGGGTGCGTCCGCCATGCACTTCCCAGGGTGCTGCAGAGTCCAGATTCATTTCCTAAGGAAGTCACAGCCCTGACCTCCAGCTATCTCAGTGTGCAGACAACTCCACTCTACTCAACACAATAAGAGTAAATATGGAATTGGGGTTAAGAACTCAAAGTAGGGCCAGGGATTTAGCCGTCTGCTGCGCAAGCGCAAGGACCCGAGTTCAATCCCAATGGGGGGGGGGGGGACGGGACACACCTCAAAGTAGATCTAATCAAGTAAATAAATGGGGTTTATTCCCATACCATGGTTAGGGCTGGGGTGCTTGTCTGGTATGCATGAGAACCCGGGCTCGATCCTGAATACTACACACACACACACACACACACGGTTTTGTTTTGTTGGTTTTTTTTGGTACCGGGGATCGAACTCATGACCTTGCACTTTCGAGGCAGGCGTGGTGCCACTGAGCTAAATCCCCAGCCCACGTACAGATGTTTTTAAAAGGATTCGTACAGATGTTTTTAAAAGGATTTAAAGTTAACCACACGAAGAGTCCATGGCCAAACCATCCTGAACGTGCCCAACCTCCTTCGACTGATCTCAGAAGCTAAGCAGGGTCGGCCTGGTTAGTACGTGGATAGGAGACACACAGTGAAGATTTTGAAAACTGCTCCTCTAGCCGCCCGCTGTGTCCAGCACTGCCCTTCTGGAAGGACTGGAATGCAAGTCCCAACAACCAGATGTGACAGCCTCAGCCACCACACAATGGGCTACTACTGCACAGCAGCCGAACTGGGGCCACAAAAATGGTCTGACAGCAATGTAAACCCATACCACCCCCATGGACATCATAAGGGGTCTCAGAAACCAGAACTGGACCTCCCACAAGACTCTGTGCGCAAAGTGCAAAGGCCTGTACCTCATTTATGGTGAGCCTTTCCCAGGAGCCAAGACTAAAAGCAGCCTAGGTGCCAAGGAATGGGTGAAAGCATTAAGAAAATGTGGCACACACACGGAGTATTACTCAGTCGTAAAGAACAATGACATGTCATCTGCAAGAATGGATGGAGTCGAAAGCAACCAACTTAGGTGAAATAGAACAGACTGAGAAACATAAGTAACCATGTGTTTTCTCTGGTGTGGAATATAAAAAAGATGACATACCGCTGGGCGTGGTAGACATGCCTGTAATCCCAGCACTCAGGAGGCTGAGACAGGAGGATTGCTGTGAGTTTGAGCCCAGCCTGAACTACAGCCAGATCCTGTCTCAAAAACAAACTAACTAGGGGCCGGGGATTTAGCTCAGTGGTTTCGCTGCCTGCTGCACAAGCGCGAGGACCTGAGTTCAAAAACTAACTAAATAAATACTTAAAAGACAACATGCAAGAAGGGGGACTATTACAAAAGGAGTTAACTGGGAGGGTAAGGGGAAGATGGAGATGATAAAATATACATATGTAGGAAGCACCACACTCAACTGTAAGTACACTGTAAAATTACTAAGCACTAACAAAACAGATTAAAAAACCAAGAGGGGCCAGGGATTTAGTTCAGTGGTTCCAGGGCCTGCCTCACAATCGCAAGGTCCCGAGTTCGATCCCCAGTCCAAAAAAAAAACAAACTAAGAGAATGTTCTCAAAGGTTACTGGCAAAGTTCCCCAGGCACTCAGGCCCCAGCCACCAGTAGAGGCTGAAGCAGGAAGAGCCCAAGTTCAAGGCCAGCCTAGGCAATTTAGGAAAACCTTGTACAAAAAAAAGGGCTATGAAATGCTTAGAGTTGCTAAATCAGCATCTGAATCCTCACTGCGGAAGTACTGTGTGATTATATGTTCAGCATTCCTTCTTATGCTTAGTCAAGGAAACCAATGTTCTCCAACCCTGTTTCAGCCCTGTTCCGGTGGTACTGTGCTTACTAAAGAAATCACCAGACTCCAGCGGGGGTGGTCTTCTTGCTCCCACTCAAAGAGCATCAGCGCTTAGTCCTGCTCCCACCTCCGGATCCTGACCTGGGCCAGGTGCCGTCCTGCCTGAGTGGCCATCATTATATTAAATCAGTAGGGAAGGGGCAGGCCTCATGTTGCATTTTACTGCTCTTTCAGATCTCGCACAAGTCATTCAAGACAATCCAATTTAGACCCATACCTACTCTTGCACAATGGAATTTCCGTTCTCTGACTCTTGTAGATTTCCCTAGAAACCACTGCACCCAGTATCCCATGTTTCAGACCCTTCTGCTCCCAACACAATCCTTACCAGAGCAATCATTAACAATAAGGAACGTGGTCACCTCCTCACAGGAGAAGCAAGCGGGGGAAGCAGCACTGCTTCACTTGGCCAAGTTTTAGCTCGCCGTAGAAATCTCCACATTTTTGGGAAGAGTCAGGGCACTTCCGGTTGGGTACCAGGCAACTGCCAGGACAACTGCCAGCCCTAGCTGCTGAGGGTTCAGGTGCTCACTTCTGAGCTATTCAGCAGTAAAAGCTCCCTCTTGCAGAGGTCTTCATGGCTCACAGATAGCAAAGGACACCTATGTGACTGACCAGACAACACAACAGCTAAGATTCTGCAATTCAAGAATCCTAATGCTGGCTCCTGGTACCACACAACTAAGATGACACAACAAAATTAAGCTCCACAGTAACCAGTACCTAGACTGTGGCTAGTCTACAGCTACTTTAATCACCCTGTACATGATGTTGAAAAGCTGGATACAACGTTAGCCCCCTTCCCCAGACCCCCCTTTATGGACAAGGGTTAGTATCCTTTGCAAGGATAAAATGGGGACAGGGACCTCACAAGCAGAAGGTCCCAAGTTCAATCCCCGGTACCCTCCCCCCCAAAAAAAGGGACAGGGATTTTGCTCAGAGGCACCGCACCTGCCTGGCAAGCACAAAGTCCTCAGTTCAGTTCCCAGTACCGAGAAAAAAAAAAAGTTAAAATGAAGGCTAGGCATAGTGGCACAGGCCTGTAATCCCAGCACTGGGGAGGCTGTGGCAGGAGGAGCTCCAGGAGCTCAAAGCCAGCCTGAAGTACATAGTTAGACCCTGTCTCAAAACAAACCAAAAAGTTAAAATGTTTTGGTACTATCTGTGAATATTGCTGTTTTTTCCCACGCTGAAGATAACCAAAGTTTCATTTACACTCGCCCGACGTCTCATTGCAGCAATGGTGCATGAGAAGCAGACCCAGCTTGAACTTTGGTCTCATCCCTGCCCTCCCTGACTGGCTGTACCTTCCTGTAACTGAGGCCTGAGATGCTAACTGAGCTCTTCTGACCTCAGACCACTAACTCTAACAGGTGCAAGCTCACAGAAAGCAGAAGGGCCACAGCAAGTGATCAGATTCCACCACTCATCTCGGTGAGTGGGACCCAGAGGCCCCACCCTGCCACCACCAACTGGTCCTCCTGCAGTCCCCAGCACCAGGCACCCACAGCAGAACACTGCAGGCTGAGGGGCACTGGGGGCCACACACCTGGGTTCCTAGAACAGGAACCTGGGCTTGAAGAAGGTCGGGACAGCACACTCAGCGAATGGATAAACCGAATCATCACTTCACAAAGCTGCGAGCCCATGCACCAGATGAATATCAACACGACAAGCAAGAGACCACAAGACCATGTCGGATTACTGCCTTAACTCACCCATGTCAAGAAATCCATTTAATTGTTGATGTCAACAATTTTCAGTTCACAAAGCTAAGTGATCTTTAAGGCTCTCCCAACTTGGAAATCCAATTGGGCTACACAAGGCTACAGAAAACTCTAACCAGTAAAAAAAGGGAAAAACCTTTTGACAAGCTAGTGTGGCCCTTGTGACACAGCCCAACCTGAGTGACCGGACATAGCACTTGGTCCCAAAGGACACCCGACTGTGTCTGCAGGTGTTCTGGGTTGTCAGGCCTGGAGGGGAGGAGCTGCTGTCACAGGAAAGGCTGGTAATGTTGCTTAACATCTACTGTCCACAAGGCCACCTCCCCAAAACACATGGGAGCAGTGACCAGGTTGCAAAAACCCAGTTTAAATTAATGGTAGAGATTAGTCACAAGGTCTCATGGTCTAGAAAACTCTAAAAGTCTGTTGCCCACTGCTTCCTGTGTAGTCAGAATGCCTAAGCACATCTTGACTTGATAAAGCAGTCACAAATGGAGACCAAGGACACTGTGTGTGATTACTGATCCAGAACTAAGTGTAGGCAGCTGCGATAAGCCAAACGAACTTCCTGAATTTAGAGAGAAGTCACATGATTGTGCTGAAGAAATACTCAAGTCTGCAAAACTGGTAAACGAGCAGTTGTTACAGCACTGAGCGAAGTTCAGGACGATCCTGTGGGAACACACTGCAGGCCAGCCAGCCCTGTCCCAGCGCCCAGGCGGCTTCCACACCTGAGGATCCTAGCAGCAGTTTAGTCTACACTGCTGCCCAAACCAATGTAACCCACTAATAATTACTACCCACTGCTTTCCTTTCCATGCGCAATTTCCAATGCAAAATTCATTCCCAAGGCAAGAAGCCTAAAGCTTTTCAGATTCAAAGTCCCAGGAGCCAGGACCCCACAGGCAGTACTGTCACACTCCATTTGCCTTCAGAATAATGGGAGCGGCTAACCCTCAAGACCCCCGGGGCACCCAGGGACCTAAACATGGTGCAACACAAGTAGAGAAGGGAAACTTATTTTTATGTGCGGCATAATCCCAAATTTCCACCTACCTGCTAAAATTCCCAGACATCTGAGTGGGGAGGGGGCAGGCAGCACCATTTCCTTAGCTACTGTAAAAATCTTCTAAATTGTAATGATCAGAACTCATTCTTTCCCATTAGCAGAGAATTAAGAACCCAATTAACAAGCAATTCTGCTGCACTCTATTTAAGGAAGAACACAAATCAACACCTTCAGCTAAAGCATGTAAATGTGTAGCAAGGTGTGGTGATGCATGAGGCTGAAGCAGGAGGACCAAGGTCAGCCTGGGCTACATTTATCCTGAACATAGTGAGGCCTTGCCTCAAAAAGCAACAAAAATTTGGGCCAGGGATTTAGCTCAGTGGTTCCGCTGCCTGCCTTGCAAGCACAAGGCCCATCCCTGGTACCGAACCTTGGGACACCCCCCCCCCCGCCGGAAAACAAAGCAACAAAAATTTAAGTGTCTAGGTAACAGCTCAAAACTCCCTTTGAGTTTTGCTTAGTTTGCCCAAATGAGTACCTCATTAGCATCCAAACTTCAAAACCATCTTATGGTCAGTGTTCACTCAAGACTTGGCCTCTGGATCACTCTTACACTTGCCAAACCCACTCGGTCAACTCTTAGTGACCACCACAACACAGTGCCAATCTGCACAGGGCAGGCAGCAAAATGCAGCCAGGTGCTAGGTCAATTTACTCATCTCCTTTCTACAGCTAAAAAAAAAAAAAGGAAATAAGGCTGTATAATTTTCTTTACTAGACACTAAAACCAGGAGGCAGCTGATAGCCTTTGCTGAAGACCAAGTAGTAGAGAACTCATTTTAAAAACCAGTGTCATCTAATAAGATGGGAGGTTGAGCACTGGGTCTTTTTACTTGCCTCACACTGACTAAAAAAATGAAAAGGAAAGATACTGTACCAGGAAAAAGAATCTCTCAACTTTTTCTTAATGTTAGCAAAGTTTATTAAAGATAGGAAAGCTTTATTAAACATATGAAGAGAAACTGGCTGTAAAGTAAGTTTGGACCAAGTAAAAGTAGGAAAAGAAGTACACTCTACAGCATGAGGGTGGCCTGACATGCAAAATCGAAGGAAGGGGGACGGGGATTTAGCTCAGTGGTTCTGGCGCCTGCCTCGAAGGCACAAGGTCCTGAGTTCGATCCCCAGTGCAAATGAATAAATAAATTAAATAAAAAGCGAAGGAAGAGAGACTTCACTTCACAGGGTCTCACTCTAATTCAGTCCAGCCTTGAATTCGCTACGTACTCCACGCTGGCCTCAAACTCTTGGTGATCTTCCTAACAGTCTCCAGAGAGCTGGGACTGCAAGCATGCACCACCCTGCCTAGCTCAACTTTCAAAGAAATAACTACTGCAATCAAAACCTTCCACATAGACAACCCACTTTCTTGTTTTGGGGGGGGGTTGTTGTTTTTTTTTTTTTGGTACTGGGGATCGAACTCGGGTCCTTGCACTTACGGAGCAGGCGACAAAACCACTGAGCTAAATCCCCGGCCCAACAACCCACTTTCTTAGTGCACAACTCTCGGATTTACTTTCTACTTAATGGTTACTTCATTCAAAGATACTTCTAAAAGACGAAGTTTTCAGCAAGACTACTAGTTTCTTAAATTTGACAGCGCCTAGAATTTTTACATTTCCTTCAAAGACGATTCTGCATAAAAGACTGTGGCTCACAACTTTTATGCAATGCAAAACTAGTGGCTCAAATTCAAAGGACCAATAACAATAGACTCTGTTGCTGTATGACAACAGCAACCTTCGCTTATTGTACCAGTAATAAATTCAAAATACATGCGGCCTGCCTGGAGATTACAGACATATAAGCCTTAAAAATAAAGGCAAAAGTCAGGTGTGGTGGCGCAGGCCTGAAATCCCAGCACTCAAAAGGTGAGGCAAGACTGCCAGTAGTTCGAGGCCTGGATTACATAGTGAGTTCAGGACCAGCCTAGACTACACGGCAAGACCATGTCTCAAAATGCTAAAAAGGCAAGTTCACTAAGTATTTGAGCATCCACTAAAAATCACACAATTCCCACGTCGATAAACTAAGCGTTTTTAAGAAGTTGTAAGCAACATGGTACAGATGCCTGACTTAATAGGATTTCCTCAGCTGTTTGGGCTCAAAGAGCGATTTCTCCACGTGGGAGAGGCAGTTGGAGGCAACAAAATTTCGGCTGTTTCTTGCATATTAAGGGGATTTCAAGCTCATCTTCCAGTTACCAGAGACCCAAGGAAAGGACTATTTTGTCTGGCCTCGCTATGTAGTTCAGACTGGTCTTGAACTCATGGCGATCCTCCTGCAAACCGAATGCTGGGATCACGGTTATCGGCCACCAAGCTCGGCAGGAACTTTTAACCCCAACCTGTTTCTGAGGGTCTCCAGGGCTTAGCACGAGCCTGGCCAGTGGTCTGCTCGGGATCAAGTGCGGAACAGGGACCACCGGAAGGTCCCACGAGTCTGGCCCCACCCCGGCGGGAAGCTCAGGGTAGCGGCGCCCACGAGCAGCAAGCCACGGGCAGGGGGCGGAGGGAGCGCGGGGCCTGCCGTCCCTCACCTTGCCGCGGTCCTCCTCCTGCGACTGCAGCGACTCGGGAACCGCGGCCATGGCGACGCGGGCCTCGAGCAGGGGACACCTGGCTGCGCGAGGAAAGAAGAAGCTGGGCCGCCGCCGGGGCGCCTCTCGGGGGTGGCCACGGCCCCGCCTCCGCCAGCCTCCCTGCCCGACGGCAGCCGGCAGCCTCGGAGTCCGCCACCGTCCCAGCGGCCCCAGGAGCAGGCGAGCGACGCGCCACGTGCTCCCCTAGAGCGGCCTCCCCCGTCCCCGCCACCATCCATCTTGGAGCCCGGCAAATAAAGCAACGCGGGGCCTACCCTCGCTCCGCACCGCGAGGGGACCTCCGATCGCAAGACTGCGATAGGGACACAAGGCAACGGCCACTGTAGCAACGAGGATGCCTCAAGAAAGAGCGCGCGTCTGTGCGGAGGGGAATTTATGGCTCAGCCCAACTCCAATATGGCGACGAGCAGTGACGTACACAACCTCGCGAGAGGCAGAGCGCGCGATTTGGAGGACCCGCGCTTCCGCCTGAGGGGCGGGATCCCCACCGATAGTAGGTATATAGAGGCGAACTAGCGGTGAGGGGGCGGGGCATGAGCGCCGCAGAGCATGCTGGGGCTGCTTCCCTGGGGCGGGACCTAACACCAGTCCAAAGCGCGGGAACGATGAAAGTAAGGATCGCGGGAGGCTGCTCGAGTCCCGGAAGTTAAACAAAACGTGGTGACGTCCGAGATACTACCCCTTCGGTAACCAGGCCTTCTTGTCTCTTCTGGAATACAAACTGTCGTTCGAGGGGCCACCGGCATGCTGTCTGGGCATGTCCACACCTGTGTGGAACAGGGGTCGCAATGCTCCAGGGTCATAAGCGGCCCCGCCTCGAGGGTGTGAAGAGGGAATGAGAAATATCCATGCAGAATTTGTCCCCCGAGAACCTGGCGTCCCGCGCCTCCTGTCCTGGACTCGCTTTCCTCAGGATTAAAGCTCAGGGGCGGGCTTGAGGGAGGGAAAGGAATAGAATAAAATTTATTAAATAAAGACCAGGGGCGTCTTGCCCGGGCTCCCACCAGTTGGTATTTAACAAATGGTGGCCTTTCTGGTATTGAGTGACTTTGGAAGTAGCTTTCTCCGAACGTGTCCAGAAGTTATCCTGGATACAGCTCTGATAACAAAGTCGTTCCAATGCAGATTTCCCTTTGGTGTCTCAAGTACAAGGCGTCTACACCTAACACCATTTTTCTTTTAATATTTTAATAGGAATCCAAACTTTAAAAGGCACTCGACGTTGTTTGCAAACAGACTAAGGAAGTGGAAAATAGTTGAAGATGAAGGCATTTCAGACCCTTTGCAAGCAGCTCAGGTCCAAGGCGTTTTCTGTAGAACCAGCCCACATTGCTGGTTTTTCCACTTCCTCTTATTCATGTGGTCCAAAGAAGAAAAACCCCTATGAAGAAGTGGACCAAACCAGATACTCTGAGTTAGTAAAGTCAGTCTTGTCCTTCCGAGGTCCTGCTCAGACTCCAGAATCGCTGCTGGAGGAGGATGCTTTACTCTTTGGACCTGTGAGTAAGGCCAAACCCCCAAAGCAAGACAAAGCCAGAGTTCCCCGGAACTGGTTTCCTATCTTCAATCCAGGCCGAAGCCTAAAACCAAACACAAGTGAGCCTTCAGTTCCTTTGAAAATCCCTCTGCAAAGGAATATGATACCAAGTGTGACCCGGGTCCTGCAGCGGACCATGACAGCAGAACAGATTTTCTACTTGGAGAGGTGGAGACAGCGAATGATTCTGGAGCTGGGAGAAGATGGCTTTGCAGAGTATACTTCAAGTAATTCTCTTTAATTCTAGTTCTGTGTGGTCACTGTGCTTTCTAGAATATAGAGGCATTGGTGTCAAAAGAAGGAGGCCTTTTAGAAAAAACCTTACTAGAAAGGAACTACAGTACTTTTGAATAGTTAGCATTAACTAGCTCTCTTCCTCTGTGTGAACTCAAACCATGAAGCATAGATATATCATCCTTACTTTACAGATGAAACTGAAGCAGAGATCAAGTAATTTGACTAAATTTGCAAAGTGCATTTGTTTTGTAAACTACAAACTATCAGAGTTGCTTGTTTTTGTTGATTATGGAAGTCAGTCGCTTGCAGGAAGTTTTCTAGTTGTTTGGTAGGCATTCTGTCCAGAGTCTAGTAAATGCCCACTTACTAGTTCTACTTCTCATTGTAACTGATGGTGAATTTAAAGCCACTGGCACCAAGGCGGGACACGTGCAATCTATGTTATATCTCAGTCATTTGAGCTAGTCAGATGCTCTTGGTTAAGAACTGAGAGTAAATAAACTAGCCCTTAAGTCCTACTGGTGAGCAAGGAGCATAGCTTCCTTAAAGCACACTCAGCCAAAACCGGACCATTGACACAGGTGAGTTAGCTGGTCCGTGAAGATTACATGGGTGTTTTTGGGTAAAGCCGTGTTTTTGGGTAAAGCCATGTCTTACAGGCGTTCCTTAACGCATGCTTCCTCCAGAGCACTACCTGCTGGCACACAACCACTTTTATATTGTCTTCAGGCATCTTAGAAAAAATATGGAGGGACATGGTGGTGCACCTCTGGAATCCCAGCATTTTGGGATGCTGAGGCAAGAGAATCACAAGTTTGAACCTAACGAAGAGCTGGGGATGTAGCTCCATACAAAGGCCCTGGATTCAATCCCCAGTCCTGAAAAAGGAAAGAAAAACAGTGTGAGTGTGTTAACCCATTAATTTGCTAACTACGCAGTCACTTTATTTTTGATACTGGGGATTGAACTCAAGGCCTTGAGCGTGCCAGGCAGCCGCTATGCCACTGAGCTACATCCCCAGCTTTTTGTTTTAAGACAGGGTCTCACTATGTACCCAAGCTGGCCTAGAACTCACACCAGTCCTACTGCCTCTGCCTCCTGAGTGCTGAGATTACAGGTGAGCACCACCACACCCGGCTATGCAGTCATTTATGTTTCAAAGAAAATTGTTAACTATGTATGTGGTTCCTGGGTATGGCAAGAGTGGTCAAGTCCTGAGCCCCTTAAGAAAACATCCTGGGCCGGGGATGTAGCTCAGTGGTTCCGCTGCCTGCCTTGCAAGCACAAGGTCCACAGTTTGATCCCTGGTACCAAAGAAAAAAAGAAAAGACAACATCTCTCAGTGGCGTGGGGCAAGGACAGTGTGCAGGGGCTGCTGCTTAAGATGGTTCACCCATGATAACCACCAAGATGTGCTCTGCTTTCTGAGCATGCAGCATAGAAATCTATCAGTGAAATCTCCAGTCTGTATTTGTACCACTAGAATTTAGAATTGATAGTCTCCTCCTGAGGAGTTAATTTTCCTTAAGCCAGGAATGTAACAGCTTTCCAGAATCCTGAAATGCCTAATAAAGGAGCTAAAGGTAGAAATCTGCTGGTAGTAGGGAAGCCTAGGGTCTATAGCTCTGGACAGAGTAAGGAAGGGTGCTGATGGCCAGGCCCTTGACACTGGAGGGAAGGCCCACTATGGTGGTGCACACCTATTATCCTAGCACTTGGGAGGCTGAGGCAGGAGGGTCATCGTGAGTTCGAACCCAGCCTGGGCTACATAACAAGACCCAAAACCAAAGATACAGGAGCGGAGTTTCTGTTTGGAATGTGAATGAGCCCTGGTAGAGATGCTCACAGAGTTAGCTTTGTTGCTGCAGGTAGCACTTTGCTGTGTTTCGCAGTGAACTCATTGTAAGCCTTGAGCAGGAGCATGTTCACTCTTTCACAGCGGGGGGCAACCACAGACAGATAGTGTCAGGGCAAGAGTGAAAGACAAAGAAGAAGAAAGTGAATATCAGAGTCCAGCATGCCGATTAAGTGGTCTGGAGAGACCATCTGAAAAACACCAGGAGTAAATTTCTTTTGCCCAGTCTTGCCAGAATCCAAAGTGTAGAGATGTGCCAGAGCTAGTGTTCTACCCAAGACTTGCATGGTTTCCCCAAAATCACTTCTCCTTGGGCCTGGGGATGTAGCTCAGTGGCACTGTGCCTGCCTCATAAGCACAAGGTCCTGAGTTTGATCCCTGGTACCAAAAAAAAAAAGAAAAAATCACTTCTCCTTTTGAAGGTCGGTGAGAAGAAGAAATCTGATTTTTTTTTGTTTGTTTTGGAACTGGGGATCGAACTCAGGACTTTGCACTTTTGTTTCACAAATTTTTTTTTAAACCCTAGAGTATCAGCCATCGTGCTGGGCATGGTGGTGCACATCTGTAGTCCCAGCACTCAAGGCCACCCTGGACTACTACATGACTACATAGTGAAACCCTGTCTCAAAAAACAATACCACAAGGACCTGAGTTCGATCCCCAGTACAAAAAAAAAAAAAAAAAATCAGGCATCCTGACGGCTCTAGCATCAGAATATTGAAGATACATGTTTTTTTTTTTTTTAATGTACTTGTATGGAGAATTGAAAACATTTCACTTCTTTAATTGTTTTGGCTCAGTACTCTTGACTTGATGCTACTTATAATAAATTTACTCTTGGGTCATTTTTTTGTTTTTATAAATTGAATCATATTTAATGTCCTGATCCTAAAATCTAGATTTCCATTTTGAGGCCACTATGTGAAGAATGAAGGTTAGATATACTTCGGGGAATGAATCATCTCTTTGCAACGCTGATAGAGCAGTTTTTCTTGTTTTCTTTTTTGGAGGGGGTTAACGGGGCATCAAACCCAGTTTGCTAACTGCTCTGCTTCTGAAAAACCCCATTTCTCTTCCTGTTTTGAACAAGTTTGCCTTCTGATTTGTTGAGTCTAGGTGATTACTATATTTCTTTTCTTTTGATTTTAATTCCACAAGTCTTAAGTTTCTTGTAGGCTTTTCATGTACTAATAATTTCACTTGAGCCAAGTATGTGGAGTAGCCAGGCATGGTGGTGCACGCCTGTAATCCCAGCACTCAGGAGGCTGAGGCAGGAGGAGTGCTGCCAGTTCGAGGCCAGCCTGGGCTGCATAGTGACTTCAGGACCAGCCAGAAATACAAAGCGAGACCCTGTCTCAAAAAACCAAAAAAAACCCCAAATATGTGTGGAGTAAAGTAATTTAGCTCCTAGTTGAATTCCACTTCGCCCTCCAAGTAATTTCCCTGGAGCAGTTCCATGTTTTTGCCAGTGGTAGAACTGACCTCTCAGAGTCTGTGTGGAAGACACTTGCAGATGGAATGTGGCTCCCTGTCCCCTTACTGGGTGAAATTGCCCTCTCCCTTGGGGAGCAACCCCTCGCTGCCAATCTGGAAGGTTCAGGATGCCAGTCAGGCTTTTGCTTTGAGCAGATTAACAGCAACACCTGGGCCAGTAGGGCTTCATTCCTTGGATGATTGTCCACATCTTGCTGGATCCCTGTTTGAAATGAATGTTCTGACAGCATCAAGGCCTCTGCTTAGCCTAACCATTGTCCCTTTCTGTGGCTCCTTCCCTTAGCAACAGTCAAGTGACTGTACAGTATTTCTTACAATTATTAAACCTGTTTCTGTCCTTTTTCTTAACTGGGAAACATGAGGAAAATCAACCAGGACATAGCAGCTGCGTCTTCTCTCCAAATCCCACCACCTCCTGTCATTTTTATTCATGTGACTTGATTTTCATGTCTTGTGGTCACTAATCCTGTTAATAAAAGGATTCCCTGCTTAATTATGTTCATATGTAAAAAGAACTAAAGATCCCAAGTTCGATCCCCAGTACCAAAAGAAAAGAACTAAAGAGAGGCAGGGTTCCCTACTTTTTTTTTTTTTTCAGTACCAGAGATCGAACAGGCCGTGAAACCACTACTGAGCTAAATCCCTGGGCCGGTTCCCTAAATTTTTAATGATTTTTTAAATACAGCCATTTAACCCATTAAATTAGATACTTAATAGATAGTGCTATAAACTAGATGCACTTCTGTAACTCCCGGATCTGCAGTTCTAGGTTTGGCCTAATTCTGTGAGAAATACTTCACTTTAATGCATTTCATTTCTAAACTATTCTAATTCCTTTGGCTTTTGAAAGTGCATTCTTAGTTTTCATAAGAAGCTGAAATTTGATGTTGTAGGGCTTGCCACTTAAAGGTAACTTTTATGATTTTTTTTATCTTGATATCAGAAGTTTTTAGAGCATTTGGTTGTTAGTTCTCACTGGTTTTGTTTTCTGTCTCCTTGATTTTCTTTCTAGACATTTTTTTGCAAGGGAAGCGCTTCCACGAGGCCCTGGAAAACATACTCTCAGCCGAGGGGAACATAAAAGAGGAGGATGAAAGTCCCCTTGCCTGTGGCCACATCAGAAGTGTGCAGCATCTTCTGAAAGATGTGTGTGGAGTGCGTGCTCTCGAGAGCGCCGTCCAGCACAGGGCTCTGCAGTACGTGGGGCTGCTGGACTGTGTGGCTGAGTACCGGTGAGTAGGAGACGGTGCTGCAGGGAGAGATCATCTTGATGCCTGTCAAGAGAGATTCTTTTCCTCTCAACCCTGGCTGCAGGTACCATGGCTTCTGCCTCTTTAAAGTTAAACCAGGCTGGGCATGGTGGCACACGCCTGGAATCCCAGCCCTCTGGGAGGCTGAGGCAGGAGGGTGGCAAGTTTAAGCCCAGATTGGACAATGTAACAACACAGCAAGACCCTGGCTCAAAATTAAGTCCAACCTACATGAGAAGTAAAAGTAGGGCAGGAGGCAAGGGCAGATACAGTGGGTTAGAGCCATATCATCCGGATCAGTCAGTGTTCCACATCTGCACACTTCTCTGTCCCAGGTGTGGCCTGGCTTCCAGCTGTCCCCCTTCCCAAATTTGGATACCAGCTGTAAGCTCCAGTTGGATCCTAGCATTCTGTTTCCTGTTCTCAGAATTTTTACTTTTGTTTTTCTGGTCTCCTAATTTTTCCTCTTTTTTCTTTTCTGTGTTCCTGTTTCCCTAAAGACCATGATCCTTTGGCCTTGAAAATTGCTTCTTCCTGTCTTCCAGGCAGTGGCTGATGTGATAGGAACACAGACTCTCTACACTTCCTGCTGCTTTTAGACTGCTGCTGTGTTACCATTTTTGCCAGTTCCTCCAGATGCCCGGGGTGACTAACCCGAAGGGGCCTCGCCCCAACATAGCACAGAGCCCTAACAGGGTGGGGAAGCACCTCTGTGTGTTCCCCGAGGGCGCTTTGGTTGAGCTCCATGGGAGGGGTCCCCTGGCCATGTGCAGGGCCTCGGGTTCAAAAGCAGGACAGCAGACTCATCCATCTAGAAACTGTGGAGCACCTGACAGTTTTGAGGCAGCGCAGCTTCGTATCTGAGAAGAGCCCTGTGTGCCCAGAAATGCAGCGGCTCTTTCTGGCTCCCTGTAAATTCCCTGAGGGAGCCACACAGTAACTTCCGCCCACAGCCTACAACACATCCCCAACTTCAGATGCTTCTCATACAGATTATAAAACACATACATAGCACTGCTGTCTGTTTTTGTATTCTTTCAGTCTGAGCAACACGTGGTGCTGCACACATGTATTCCCAGCACTTTGGGAGGCTGAGGCAGGAGGATCCCAAGCTCAAGCCCAGCCTGGACAACGTAGTAACTTAGCAAGACTGTCTCAAAGTGAAAAATAAAAAAAGGACTATGGGTGTAGCTCTCTGAAGGCCCCATGTTCAATCCCTGGTACCAGAAAGTTTGTTAAAAGGGGATGGGGGGACAGAAAGTGGAGAATAGAAGCAGTGTCATTAGGTGCTAGTTGCAAACTGCACAGGGGGAAGTTCCGGTCTGACCCAATATGCAGATACTTCTCTGGTATCGTAGAGGCAAGCTGTGCGTGATCGACTGGAAGACATCAGAGAAGCCGAAGCCCTTCCTCCAGAACACATACGATAACCCACTGCAGGTGGTGGCGTACATGGGTGCCCTGAACCACGATGCCAACTACAGCTTCCAGGTCAGGTGGTGCTTTCCACCCCAGGGGTCCCACGCCCGCCTGAGAACCACCGTTTCTTCCTTCCCTGGCTTCTTTCCTCTGTTCCTCCTGCTCCTAGTCCATTCTTCAGTGTTGTGCCTGGCATCTTGGTATCCCCATGTGCCTTGGGTGCAGTCTTTATTTCTTTATGCTTTTTGAGTCAAGGTCTCGTCATGTAGTTCAGGGTGATCTTGAACTCCCTGTGTAGTCCAGGCTGGCCTCAAATTCACAGTGATGCCCCTGCCTCAGCCTCCTGAGTACTGGGATTGCAGGCGTGGGCCACCACACCCAGCACCATGTACAGTCTTTAGTCACCACCACCTTGGAGGTAGATTTTCCTGTAGTCAGGAGACGCTCTTGAGGGTGATGTGGTCCTGAAGTAACAAACCTGAGCTGTGGGCTCACAGGAACCCTGGCATCGCCCATCTCTGCGCAGGTGCAGTGCGGCCTGATCGTGGTGGCCTACAAGGATGGCTCCCCCGCACATGCCCACTTCCTGAACGCCGAGCTCTGCTCCCACTACTGGGCCAAGTGGCTGCTGCGCCTAGAGGAGTACAAGGAAAAGGTTCGGAGCCAGGATGGCCAGAAGCCAGGAGAAGGCCAGGACGCAGCCAGAGCAGGTGCTGCTCTCCCTGTAGGAGAAGAGGGATCGCTGTCTCCTGCTTGCTGAGAGCCAAGTGCCACACCGGCAGAGGCAGGAGGGTTGCTCTGCTGAAATGCACTAGTGCTGACAAAGGTCAGCCGCGGCACTGGCAACACCACCCTGACACGTCTTGACCTGACAGACGGGGAGCAAGGGAGCAGGCCCAGGCAACTCTCACCCCCCTGGACACTTCTTCATCCTTGGCACAGCACTTGGGGCTTCAGTTAAGTCGGAAGGGGCTTATGGGCCAAGGCCCACCCAGGGTGTGTGTGCCACCCCATGCCTTCTTATGGCATGTGCATAGACTGAGGTGCTCTTTCCCATCAGGGAAATAAGCTGTTTTTTGGTTTTTTCCTTTTTGGTTTTTTTGGTGAGGGGTACCAGGGATTGAACTCAGGACCTTGCACTTTCGAGGCAGACACAGTGCCACTGAGCTAAATCCCTGGCCCATCTTTTTTGGTTTTTTGAGACAAAATCTCACTGTGTAGTCCAGGCTGACCTTGAACTCACTTTGTAGCCCAGTCTGGCTTGAGACTCACAGGGATCCTCCTGCCTCAGCCTCTGGAGTGCTAAGATTACAGGAATGCACCATGCACCACCACACTGAGCCCTTTTTCTTCTTCCATTGTTTGAGACTGGGTCTGGCTATGTTGCTCAGGCTGGCCTTGAACTCATAGAGATCCTCCTGCCTCCACCTCCCAAGTGCTGAATAGGAGGTTTGGTTTTTTTTTGGTACCTTGGATCGAACCTGCAACCTTGGGCTTGCGAGGCAGGCAATGGAACCACTGAGCTAAATCCCCAGCCCCAGGAGCTCATTTTTAACATGAGCTGCATGTACATATGTCTGCCCAGGAGGAAGCACTGCTGTCTGACACCTGTGTCGCTCAGTGTCCCGTACCATAGCCAGGCCCCAGCCAAAGATCATCACTGTGGGTGTTCAGTGGCTGCTTCTGGTGTAGTGAACAGAGAAGGAAATTTTTTGTTCATGGGACTTTTCAGCTGTGGGAGCACTAATAAAGTCATGTTTCCATGTCTGAGAGGTGTTAATTATAAGCCCCCTCGGGTTTGAGAAAGTTGAGGTGAGCCGGGAGGCCTCAGTCACAGTTGCTGCCACTCTCGCCTTGCGTCTCTTGTCAGCCATTTATAAAAAATGAAGATGGGAGCAATGAAGTCGGCTTTGTTTACTTAAATCTGTGCAACTGGGGCAGTGTCACAGCCAGGAAGCTTTCACACTTTGTTTTTGTTTTGCTTATTTCCTGAGCTGCTGAAGCTCCAACCCAGGACTGCACATGCTGGGCCCATGCTCTACCCTGAACCACATGCCCAGTCCCTGCCCTTTGTTTTCTTGATTAGAGCTTTGCTTATTTTTTGGTCGGAGTTTTGCAGTGTTTCCCAGGCCAGCCTCTAACTCTTGATCCTCTGCTGCAGCCTGCTGAGGGCTGGGGTTCACACCAGACGCACTTGATTTTGAAACTCCCAGCCCCATGCCCCGCCGTGTCCATCCATACCCTGCCCCCCAGCTGTGTGTTGGTTCCACACAGGTGCATGGAGGAAGACACTATTTAAATGGCTCTCAGGCTGGGCATGGTGGCACATGGCTGTAATCCCAGCACTCAGGAGGCTGAAGCAGGAGGATCTCTGAGTCCTAGGCCAGCCTGGGCTACAGAGTGAGTTCAAGGCCAGCATGAACTATATAGCAAGACCCTGTCTCAAAAAGCCAGGAAAGTGAAAAGTAAATTCCCAAGACCTTTGCGTAGGGACTGAATCCCCCAAGCAAACGGCAGCCTGGAGACCCAGGGGAGAGACCCTCAGGAAGACACGGCTGTCTGAGGACAAGGCAGGTGTATCCTGGGCAGGTGTTCCAACCTGCTCATGGCCCCCCAGCTCCTAAGTCCTGACAGCCCCCAGATCTGCCAGCCAAGGGTGTCAGTGCCCAGGGAGGAAGTAGCCATTGTAAAGTCAGCGCCCTGGGCATGGTGGCACACACTTGTCATCCCCACCACTCAGGATGCTGACACAAGAGAATCGTCTGGGCCTGAGGCTCTAGACCACCCTGGGGCAGCACAGCAAGACACCATCTCTTCAAAAGAAAAGGCTGTGATCCACCTACTAGGGAGGGTGAGGCAGGAAGACTGCAAATTTGAGGCTAGTCTGGGCAACGTGGCAAGACTTCATCTTTAAAAAGTCACTACTAGGGCTGGGGATTTAGCTCAGTGGTTTCAGTGGAGCCTGCCTCAGGAGCACAAGGTCCCAAGTTAAATCCCTGGTACCAAAAAAAAAAAAAAAAAAAGAGAAAGTTTCACTACTAAGAAATAGGAGGAGAAAGCCAAATTTGCATTTCTAAATAACCACCAGTTTTGCAAGAGTTAGCAAGTAGCTGTGTGGATTCCACCTTGGCCCTCAAGGGGTATGTGGCAGATTAAAATGCATTGAAATGAAGCAGGATCCACAATAAGGAGAGATTTTTCTAGTTCTTTTTTTTTTGGTACCGGGGATCGAACTTGGGTCCTTGAACTTGCGCAGCAGGCGGTGAAACCAGTGAGCTAAATCCCTGGCCCTCTAATTCATCATTTTAAGCTGGGCGTTTTGGCGAACATCTGTGATCCCAGCACTTAGGCTGAGGCAGGAGGATCACCACAATTTCAAGGCCAGCCTGGGCTACATGTGAAACCCTGTCAAAAAACAATAGAGCCGGGGATTTAGCTCAGTGGTTCCACTGCCCGCCCACCTCGCAAGTGCAAGGTCATGAGTTCGATCCCCAGTACCAAAAAAAAGACAACAGAAAACAAGTTACTAGAGTGCTGAGGGGACCTGGGGAGGCTCCAGGGAGATATCCTGTTGAACCTTGGTGGGAGCAGCTGTCAGGTTTGAGTAAGGCATCGGCGAGGATCTGGTCACAGTAACATTCTGGGTTAGGGTTGAGGTTCTTCCTTTTTGCTTAGGAGCTAAACAGGGAGGAAATAAATAAAACATCATAAGTAAACCTAATCCCACTGGGAGTCTCACTAATCCCTTTGCCCTCTCCCATGGGACTAACACCATAAATGTGGTGTGTTTCTTTCCACTGTGTTCCTTTATAGTTTGCCACAGATACCAGTCTCCATGAATAATAGAGTTTGGTTTTCTGTGCCTGTAGTTTTTACTTGACTTTATCTCAATGTTTTGATTTTTTGGTGTTTTGTTGTTGTTATTCTTTTAGACAGGGTCTCGCTGTGCAGTTCAGGCTGGCCTTGAACTCCCTATGTAGCCCAGGCTGGCCTTGAACTCATAGTGATCTTCCTGCCTCAGCCTCCCAAGTGCTAGGATTACAGGCCTCTGCCGCCACACTTGGCTCTCTTAACGTTGTGTGTGTGTGTGTGTGTGTCTGTGTGTCTGTGTGGTGCTAGGGATTGAACCCAGGGCCTTGTGCATGACAGGGGCTCTGCAGCAGTAATACCACTAGCCCTCAGCAATTGCTTTTGAGATCTTCCTGTCCATCACTTCTTGATTACGCATAGCAGTATCCTTTGTGTGTGTGTGTGTGTGTGTGTGTGTGTGTGTGTGTACCTACGTGTGCACTGGAACCTAACCCAGGCTGTGTACATGTTAGGCAAGCTCTCTTCCCTAACTAACCTGACCCCTTTTTTAAAAGTTTATTTTACTGGATGTGGCGGCACACACCTGGAATCCCAGCACCCAGGAGGCAGAGCCAGGAGGATAGTTGTGAGTTCAAGGCCAGCCTGGGCTACATAGCGAGACCCTGTCTGTAAATAAATAAGTTTATTTTAAGACAGCCCTCATGGAGTTGCCCAGGGTGACCACTAATTGAGATCCTCCTGCCTCAGCCTCTGGAGTAGCTGGGGTGACAGGCTTGTGCCCCTCATTCTTTTCTGCCAGCTAACGGAATGTCAGGTCCACAGCGTTTTGCTGCTACAGGTAATGCTGCAGTGAGTGTCCCTGAGCGCCTCTTCCATTCCGGTACCCAAGAGGCACGAGATAGAATAGGAAAGTCACCTGCCTTCTGGCCTAGGTCCCTCATTCGAAAGTTGAGGGGAAGTAACAGTACTTAGGGCAGGAGGGCTGAAGGCGTTAAGCACTGGGGACGCGGCCTGCCACTTCGTGTCAGCCACCGTTCTCACTGCCGGTCAGCCCTGGACACGGCCTTGCTGGGCCTCAACATGCCCATGACGGCCAGATTCCTCTCCAGACTGGTGACGCAGACTGACGTTCCCACCGCGGTCCCGGATGCTCAGCCACACCAGCTTTCCGCTTTCCCTGACGCCCCGTGGGTGAAACAGCCCAACCTCTCCGGCGCCTGCCAGTGCTCGCCAAACGGGGCTGCCCTCTAGCGGCGGAAGGGCGCACTGCAGCCCGAGGCTGAGGGCGGAGGGCGCCCCTGTCGGCTCCCTCCCTCCCTAGGCTCTGCTAGGCTCTGCGTTCCGTTTCTACTCTGGCCACCTGGAGCCTTTTATCTAGCTCCGGGATAGAGGAAGCGCTTTGTGCAGACCCCTGGCGGATGGTCTCTGATCACAAGAGAGGAGTGTTAATAAAAATAGCTGGGCTTGGCGGTGCGCGCCTGTCATCCCAGCACTTGGGAGGAGGCTGAGGCAGGAGAATCACTGCAAGTTGGAAGACAGCCTGGGTCACATAGTCAGACTCTACTTCAAAAGAAAGAGGAGTTCGGTAAATTAGCACTGAGGCTCCCGAGCAAGCTGGCTCGGCTTCTCTGGCAGCGCTAGCTCCACACTCGAGACAGCGGTGGCACACCACTGCAGGTCACCTAGTGCTGCAGAGTACTGAGCTGACATCTTTCCACCCCAGCCTTGACTGCTGGGTGTCGCTCGGGGCTGAGCGCCTGCCTAGCGGATGTGGGGCTCTGGGTTCCATCGCAGCCTGGCCAGAAGCACAAAATCAAATTGGCCTGGAATCGTATCCGAGACTTTAGTGTTAGATGTTAATCAGCAAGGACAGCTGTGTGCCCTCTGCAAGCAGGGCAGTGAGCGACTGGGACAGAGGCCCAGGCCGAGAGACCAGTGTTGCAACTTGGTCTGCAACGAAGGCCTGGAGCCCAAAGGCTGGGGACCAGCTTGTGACGCCCGTGATGCCCGTCCGAGGTGGAGCCAGGTCACCTCCCACTGTGTCCTGCTCCATCCCCACACACCTGGGCTTTCAGGGCTCCTCTGCACCCCGACAACCCAGTGCCGCCACCCCCCACCCAGGACACCATGCCTGTTCCCTGAGAGCCCCTCAGCCGGCCAGCAGGAGTCCCTGGAGGTTTTCATGCTTCACCTGGCAAACAGGGAAACTGAGGCCTGGAGGCCCAGAGCACCTGCCTGGGTCACGCCGGCATCGGGTGGGTAACGGAGCAGCCACACATCCTCCCGACCCACACCTCTGGGGCGTGGCTCCCATTTCCCCAGCCCTGAATCTCACTGTGGCCAGGTATCGTGCAGTGGGGAGGGGGCATTAGGGGACAGGGCTCCTGCAGAGGCATATAAAGTCCTTGTACACAGGGTTCTTGGGGCTG